TATGCATGATTATAGGAGACTGACCAATCAGCATACGGCAAGAACCCAGTGCTTAAGTGAAATCCTGGTCCTTTTAATTGAAATGTATGAAATGTATGAAATGGTAGTTTACAAATCCTGTTGTAGCTCATAGTGTCCCTCCTGACATGGATTAGGTGGTCACCCTAGCCACCACTGGCTGATCCTTCCCTGGCTTATTGCCAAAAACTCCGCAAAGTAAACAGTTAAATGACAGTTTTTAAGAATAAGTAACTCCGCCAGAGTGTCTCTTTGGGGTCACTTTTGCCGGTCCCAAGCCGGATATAGGAGGAGGGTTGGAATTATGATATAAAAAAAAACAAGAATCGACAGAAGAAAGCTCATTTGTAGTTCTAAACGTATTTAGGGTGTTTTTTAACCACCTTTTGTCTCTCCCACGACATTATTCCTCTCTCCTACAGCGTCCATTATAATTACATGCACATTATGCAAATTAGGCGATGGCGTCATTTAGCGACTTATAGCGACTTTCCTTGCTGAGGAGTTGGCATCAGTGCCCGCTATATCGCGGATTTTTCCCGACACGTCACAGTTCTCTGCGTATCGTGTACCTTGGTTGTGATCAGATTGTTTTCGTTTTGTTTTAAGCCCTACGACGGCTCCCAAGCCTCCTGCATCTTCTAAGGCTTCTAAGCCTTCTGGTAGTAGGCTAGTTAGCCTAAGCGCCAGAGAAAGACCTTGACCATTCAGAAGAAGGTAAAACTCTTGAATATGCTTTGGGAAGGAAAGCGTTACGCGGATGTCGCTCGCCATTATGGCTTGAATGAAACGACGGTACGCTACACCAAGAAGGATAAAAAGAATAATAAGTTTCCATGTGTTTAAACCGTGTGGGAGAGGTATTTTAAGGCTGAAACTATTAAAAAAATGTTTATTTTATATGGTCTTTCTATATCGCGGATTTTCACCTATCGCTGATGGATCTGGAATGCATCAAACGCGATACGCGGGGGATCACTGTATCTATATATTAACAAAAAGTTTCTAGTTATGTTTACTTAAAATCTGCTTGTAATGTTTAATAAACTCTTTGTTGTTTTTAGTTGAATTTTTAAGTTGTAATAACTTGTGAATGTCAGGTACACTTAAATTGTTCTCCTAAGTGTTTGCAGATCAAATTAACTAAGTTAGTTTCACTTAACTAGAACATTCAATTTACTCACCAAAATTTAGGAAACCGATTGCCTTAGAAAAACTAAGTAAACACAACAAAGAATAATTAGTGAACAAGATTCTTTTTTAATTTAAACACAAAGTGCTAATAATTTTACTATCTCATGTTAGTGTCAGTTTGAAAAAAATACAATTAAAACAAATGCAGTTAGAAGCCTTACTAGTGGTCCCTGGTACTGTAAAATTTACAGGCATTCTCCATTTCAAAACAAAACTGTTTTCTTTGTTTCTTAAAACTACATAACACAATGACTCTTAAATCCAATATGATTATGTTACCAAACAGCTATGTTATTCTGTTTACTGTAGTACAACTGCAAAAGTAAAAAGATCCATATGGACTGATATTTGTGCCACTAGAAACTGAATATGAATTTTGTATATTTGAATCTGCAGTTATCCGCATTACAAAACTGAATCTGAATTTAATATTTTGAATCTGAATTCCAGTAACTCGAAATAGCATTTATCCTACCTCGAAAAATTCAGTTCGCAAATTCAATTTCAATCTAGTGTGACACACATGTCATATAGGCTACTGAATTGTATTCTGTTACTTTAAGAGGAACCACATGTTGAACAGATAAGGTGTTGGGGAATATGTTTAAGGTAACTCGGAAGTAAAAGTAAAGAGGGGTGTTGTGAAAAAAAGAATTTGGTGTCTGCGTCTGTGATTAGATTCAGTAAGACCGAAGACGTGAATATAAAATATACACAAAATATAACATTGGCGACGAGACGTGTGGGAGCACATACACACACACATATATAAACGATTTAAAAATGGATAAAGTGGGGATCACTGTGTTCGAGTGCTTCAAAGACCCGGCTACGTACGTTCGGGGTGAGGGTAAAATGCGGATTCCGCAGGGGGTGAGGGTAAAATGCGGATTCCGCCGGATTCCGCCGAACGTAAACAAAAGGAGGAGCTCAGCATTGCGGTGCAACTGCGCAGCCAGTACAATACGGATGTCCGAAATCGTATTGTTCTTAATGTTAACATTAATTTCATTGTTAATTTGTTAAACATGTGAAAATGTTCTATATGTTATCTGTTGAGCGTTCTCTGGTCGAGGATAATCTGCATTTTCCCCCTCTCTTGTCCAGTCAGACAGATGTATCGGATGTCCATGGCTACCAACGTCACTGTTCATGGATGCCTGTTAATTCCTGACGAATAAAATAAATCATAATAAATCAATAAATAAATATGCCTTTCACCAAACAGTCAGTATTTCATTGTAATTCTGTATTTCTGTAGATCTCACATCCAAGCACTATTGAACTGTTTTGGTG